ACAGAGAAGTCAGTAGGAAACACCATACTTAACGACAGATATGTAGGGAGTGAATGTATGAATGAATGAATGAATGACAAACCCAATGGACATCATCAAAAGAAATGTAATTATAGTTCACAAGGAAGAAGAAAACAGACGATACACAATAAAAAGCCAGGATCACTAGCACTCAAATACATGAAAACGGAAACGGTCACATCATGTAAGTTCAGCCAAGCCTATCAAGCCGGCAGGGGTCTCTAACGGCGGGGCCCCCAGTTGAACGTGGACCCGGCAATGCGGTAACACGCGGGTGGACGCTTTGACAATATTAAAGCTCTGAGAAACCTCCCTACCGGTGGCCTCGTGATTCCACATCTAGAATCTGTCCTGTGGGAGGGTCTTAAGAGGTGGATCGAAATCGACGCACAACGCTATTCACCACCGCATCATGATAAATAAGAAAAAAAAAAAAGGAAACCCCCTCGCTAACTAGCAGCTGAGGAATAAGGAACTTCTTTGAACCCTACGGTGGAATGATGCGGGTGGAAGTGTGGCAGGCAGGGCTAAAGACGGGAAGTCAAGCCGGATCTCAACGAGGCTTAAAAAACGGTCGTGGGCAAAACACCGGAAAGAAATCCACCCCGGGGTCGCAGGTGCTTTCCTTCCTCCGTGGGGGCTTCCGCCGGCTTGTGCGCTAAGCTGTCTAGGGCGAGCGCGTGTGGCTTTGGACGGGCAAGGGGCGGACATGCGCGTGCACATGCAGACGCGGACGCGGGAAGTCATGCCCCAGAGCCAAGCGAGACGCCGAGGTGCCGTTTCTCGTGTGGCGCCGGGGGAGCTGCGACGCGGTGCACGGACAGAGGGTGCCGCGGGGCTCTACCTTTTCGCACAGGGCAAGCACTGTTCCAGCTTGGATTATTGCAACCTGTTCTTCGTTTCTCAAATTCTAAAACACAAAAATGGGGAAGGGCGTTTTACGCTGGACCCCGCGTCCCCGTGCAGACAGCGCTGACCGGCTTCCATGCCCCTCCGAGAGGCGACCCCGGGGCTCGGCCCCCGCACTCTAAGGGGGCCCATGTTTAAAGGCAGCCGTGTCCTATCTGGGGCCAGGCCTTTGACAGATAGGGCCTGTTTCCAGCCAGTCTCTTAAGGGGGCAGGGATGCCACGTTCTGATCTCAGAAACCTCGAGGGATCCCACCGGTCCACCGTCCCTCCGGGAGCTCCCTCGTGCGCCCGCATCGCCGGCAGGTGCGAAGGAAGCGCTGCGTCCAGAAGTCCGCCCGTGACAGCGCGACCCGCTCGTGACCGCGTGCCCCGCCCGTGACAGCGCGGCCCGCCCGTGACAGCGCGGCCCGCCCGTGAACGCGTGACCCGCCTGCGACAGCGAGGCCCGCCCGTGACAGCGTGACCCGCCCACCCCCCACGAGGGCACGGCCACACAGAAGCCTTACACTGCGCGTGTCAGATCTCTTACGTTGGGAAGAACCCGAACCGAACAGAAAGGAAAGGCACACAGGACACACCCAGGTGGAGACGAGAGCGCGAGAGCAGAAGCCGGCCGGCATAGTTACCCCGTTATCGCCAAGGATATCTAGCTTCTTCATAAGTTCAGAAACATTCACATCCTGGAAAAGATTGCCAACGTTCATTTTGTGGGAGCCGCCAAGCCCGTGCAGACCGGTCTCTACCGCCGGGGCCTCGTCCGTCCCTCTCGGTGCGCGCGGCGGGGCCAAGGGCTCCCGGCAGCTCCTTCGGGGGTCGAGGGAGAGAAGGCAGTGATTGCTGCTTGTAGGCTGAGCTTTGCAGGAACGGCTGGTGGAATCGCGAGGGTCAGGAGGACCCCGGCCGGCAGCCGCAGCCACGTCCCCCGCCCCCTCTCACTCACTGCGCGGCCGCTGCGCTCGGCGCTGCTCTGACGTCACGCCCACGTCACGTCACGTCACGTCACGTCTCGTCTCGTCTCGTCTCGTGGCGGGTGCTGCCGGTCTCACCTCCCACACGGGAGCCCGCGGCTGGGGGAGCTCACAGCCCGGAGCTGGGAGGCGGCCAAGCCGGGGTGGGCCCTCAAAGCTGGGTGCCACGCTTCTGCTCTTTTAACACGGGTACACAGAGGGTGACATTCGGTGACCCTCTGAGACACAAACTCCGACTTTCCAAATACGGTGTTGGGGGGCGGGGGGCAGGCTACCTCGTTAAAATCGGCTGTGTGTGTGACACAAAGGCACAATCCCCCTTTACGGCTGCGCCTGGCATCCGAGGGGGCCCCTGGCGGTGGGTTGAGCGGAGGCACCCCCCAAGCACGCTACCTTAACTCCTTCCTGGTGACAGAACAGCTGGAGAGCGCTTCTGTTGTTCTCGGGGAAGGTGCTGATTTGGAGGTTAAATGCTGGCGACCTCCGCTCTCTCTCCTGGGGAAAAGATTTGGTTTAAAAACAGAACTTTATTGGCTTGTTTACCACTTGCCACTTTCCCACGTTACGCAGCAAAGACCAACGGGTTCCAGTTGGCCAAGGCGTTACTAAAAGGCGCACATTCAGACTACCATCTCCTGGTCCACGAAGGAGCACGCCGCGAGGTCCCGCCTCTGCAGGGCGGCGGGTCTCGAGCCGAAATGTGTCTACTTCTTACCCACTCCGCTAGGAAGAAACGGTTAACCAAGGCATGTGTTCACCTGCTGCGCGACGGGAGCCCGGGAAGCCACAGCTCATTAAATACTCGGTAAGAACAAGTGTGTGAAATTTCAACTGACAGCACAGCCACCAGCTATGGCGTTCCTCGTGCCCTGCGGCAAATCGCTACCTCGTTGAGCCCTCACACCATCCCACGAGGCAGGCGTTATTGCTTTCGTTTCGTGGACAGGGGGGCGAGTCCCGGTCCCAAGCTCCCGAGCGGCAGGGCCGGGACACGAACCCTGGATTCACACCGTTTTCAAGACAATCGGCTGACTTCGTTCACAATTTTTTTTTTTTTTTTTTGAGCCGTGCTAACACATCAGCGATCATTCTATCCCTGCCATAGATGCTATTCAAATCTCGATCACTGAGGAAGGAAAAGCAAGCGTTTTCCCACAAGAGGTGCTCGTTAATCCTATGTAACGCGACACGTTTTTAAAAAGGACAAGAGAGACCCAATTAATGGCAGGGATATAGTACACAGAGCTGCCTTTAAAACTTGAGCAACGGACAGGCTAGCTTTATGGGAAGGCCAGCAGAGAAGACCTTTCTGAATTATACCTTTAAGTCAAACTGCTTTTATTTGGCCAAAATTAGAGTAAGATGACTAAGCCCGCTTTGGATGATTCCTGCAGAATCTAGGGAGGGCACCCATGGGTCTCTTTAGTCACTCAGCTAAGAAATGTAACCGAATGAGCACCAGCTTGGATGGCAGGACCTACGCAGATGGGGTTGGATAAGGCTAATGGGGAGAGGAAGGTGAGGTGGGTGGCAGGGGACATTCAATTACCTTCCACAAGGTGCAACTTGGCTAACCTTGTTTGAAGCAGTTCAGGGGGAAAACTTCGTTTCCCTTATCAGCCACGAAGACCAAAATTCACAGTGGCTCTCTTCTACGGATGCCTTTCTATCTGCAATGCTTAAGTGGAGTCTCCATAGAAAAAGTGACAATAGAAAGCCCATATTTTATCCGAACGAAAGTCCAAACTGGTCTCTAACGGCTCTGAAGGACAGTGGAGACACTTCAAGAAAGTCTTAGCACGCTGAGCAACGCTCATGGAACTCTCATGAGAAAGATGCGTGACCAAGGGCTGTGAAAGGCTTCCTAGCTGGCCGAAGTGTGAACAGTGACCTCGCGTGGCTTCCGATTTCCTAGTGCGTGAACGAAGGCCCAGTTGGCGCTCAAGCAAGAGTTGCGTTGCAGGGGTAACGCTTGGTTTCGAGACCTTCAGGCCACGGTCCACGCCAACACAACAAAGGACAAGATGGTAAGGTCTAGCGCAAACAGTTTTGACTGAGGCCAGGATGAGGGAACAAAATCGGGGGGACACCAATGTTGCGAAGGCGCTCGCTTCTCCCGAGGGTTCCGTGCATGCAAAAAGGCTTCAGCCGAGGGAGAGCGGGGCTGCGTCACTGTAGGTGCTTAGAGAAACGAGTGTCACAAACATGGCTGATGTTTAAACTGTGGATGGTGTTTAAATGGCGACAGACAAACAAACACAAAAGGGTCATGACGTTCAGGTGGCAGCAAGGCGATACAGCGACATACCGAAAACAAGGTTTCAGTGGGAAGCAAAAAAACCGTCAGCGGTCTTGCCCTGGATGCAGCTCTGTACTGGGGACCTTACTGAAGGTTTGGAACACGGCCGCTACCTACGAACACCACTCGGTCTCCCTCCACGCTAACCAGGAATTTTGGAGTCGTGCGGTTCGAGTACAAACAGGTACATTTCCAGTCCAATGCAACATTGCCATGACACACGGGCCTGTGTTCACTGATCAGGGAGCTGGGGCAATGGCATCGGTTTTCTCAAACGCCTACGCAGATACCTCCTTTCCCCCTGCTCGCTTACTTACCTGTGTTCACCTCGGCAAACAGAACATGGGCCGAACTAGCAGTGAACACGCTACAGAGGCAGTTGCGGGCCAGGTCGGACCCCGCTCTTTCAAAGGGAGACATTCCCTGCATGCAAGGTCACTTAAAAAAGGTGTGTTATTAATTGCAACAGCGCTTCTGTCCGACTTTGCAGAACGCATACCAGGTGACTATGCATGCGGGAAAGAAGTAGTTATGGAAATGAAACACAAATAAAAAAGGCAAAATATTGCAAAAACAAATTATTTTATTAAGTGCAAAAAACAAGCCGTAGGCAATAAATAGATTAGCTCTGGTACATGTCCAAAGACCTCGGTGAGCATTCTCTCCAGAACATATTAAGGCAGTGAAATTATTCTGAACATACAGATTTAAAAAAAAAAAAAAGAAAAGAAAAGAAAGGAAAAGAAAAGAAAAGAGAACTCTACCACGTCCCTTTACACATGCTGGAGGGCATCGGGGAGCTTTACATGAATTTCAGTTTGGGCTCAAAGAGAAGGTCTGCTCCGTTTGAGAGCGCGCAACAGATAGAGTCTCTTACTTCGAGCTCCAGCACTCGGAACTCTAGCAGCTCATTTTGGTCCTTGGCGTCCTGCATTTCGTTCTTCAGCTGACTCTCTTCCATTTCCAGTCTGTAAATCTAGAGGAGACGCACCTGTGGGTTAGCGGGCGGGAGGACCGCCGTCCACGTGGGGGCCGCGGGAGACGCACCCTATTCAGCGCGGGCAGGGTGCGGGGGTGGGGGCGCCTGCACCGTCCCTGCCAACCCCCCTGGGGGGCCTGGCCTGGAAGAGGGGCTCCTCATAGGCTTGCCGAATAAATGAGCGATGGGGGAAACTGAGGCACGGCGCCACTAAGTCCCTTCCTGAGGTCAAGTGTGAGGGAGGCAGGAACGCACCATGGGCGCTTCTGATCCCAAAGCCTCAGTGTGGTCTTTTCGCGGGCGGTCTGGCCCCCCAGGATGAGCT